CTAGAAATTTGACTTCCCTTCACCAGAGATCTTCACCGGATCCAGTGGCCACAACAGGTATTGTTGGCCACCTGAAACCTTATCAAAGAGTAGCTGTAACAGACAGGACGACTAGAGACCATTCCTGTCACCTTTTTGTATTTCTATACATCTACTGAAGTAGGGATTTTGGTTGGTTGGTTGGTTTTGTATTTTGAAGCCCTGTGTACGGAGACAGCACAGTCTGACTTTACTGTATCCCTGAAAGGAATTGCACAGTTCCAGGGTAACTTTAAATCAGGTGTCATCATCCAGCCTTTTAGAACCAGCCTAGCAGCACATAAGCTCACATGGAAGATAGGAATATGGTGATTAATAGCACTGCTATCAATAATAATCCTCTACACGTTGGCAATTTCGTTCTATTCAGGAAGTACTTTCATATGCATTAATACCTATTCACATTCACAAATACCTAAAGATGAAATAAGCTGCCGTCATTGCGCGCATAGGGAGATGCAGATCTCAGGAGCGCTGCCTCGGCTCAAGATAGGCACGTTCACTTTGAGCAGCCACAGAGGAGTTTAAAGCTAAAGCTGTCCTCATCTGAGAATAAGTGACTCAGCCCACTTTTTCAAGGACAGTGACTCTGTGTCTGATAAGGAGGCTGCAGCAGCTTGACAAATTGACTTCCAGCAAGGGCGAAAGTCACCCAATTCAATGAGGAAGGAAACATCATTGTCAGAGACAAAAGGGAAAGAGGTGTTCTTCCGTTTGAGTCATTTGAATTTTGTCCTTTAAAGTCCTATGATGTTTAGTTAGTGGCGGCAGCGTGGAACCGGCACCAGCTATATGATGCCTGTAAAACAGGTGACGTTTGCACCCCCCAGCTCGCTACTTCTGTTTTCACAGGAGGGGAAGGACAGAATAAAACAAGGTGTAGGAATAAGTAATTTCTCTGAAGCTTATTTTCACTGATCTGTGGAAGGCATACTTAAGAGTCGTTTCAAATACTGTATTTATTGCACAAGTGAGATTTTCAGAAGATGAAAGTTAACCCACGATTCCATTATCCTAAAAGAGCTATGTTTCTTTTTCTATCCTGCTTAATTTATAGACATAATTCTTACTAGAAGAAATCATAGCACACGTCCAGGTTCCCACTTTTTTGTACTAGCATGTTATGTAGATGATATAAATGCCTCCTGTCATTTGCTGTGTGTCTGCCATGTGCCAGCTTCCCGCTAGCTATTTTATTCATATTCTTTTATTTAATATTCACAACCACCATATAAAGGTGTATTTCATCTTACAGAAGAGGAAATTAGGCCTCAGAAAGGTCCAGTAATATCTCCAAAATAAACATTTTTCTGTTACTTTATCAGCTCTATTTTGAAAGCTGTGCATTTAATAGAATCGCCCTTTACCATTTATTTTAGAGTCTTTTTGTGTAATATGTTCTGAAGTACATTATGAAGTCCTTATGAAGTACGCTGAGCATTTGAAAGCCACCTACCGTTAGTTTTTCCCTGATGTTGAAATATGTTCTATAGTCATTTCATATTGTAGCTGTATTTGGACACTTAAATCAGTTCTCTGTACTTCTTATATTCTTATGAAATATATTTAAGTTCACTCATTTTGAGTTTTGGTTACCAGAATTTATATTTAAAGCCTCATAGGACGTGATGAACAAGATAAGCTTATAGTCTTTGTAAGTTTCGATAAATTTAGGTATTTTAATATGTGGACACAATCTTAGATGAACACTTGTATATCAGAGAACATAATGATTGTCTGGCAAAGTGTATTCTTTATCATGTGTTAAAAAAGCATGTGCTTGTCGAGTCCATTTTTAGGCCCATTTCCTTCTCACAGAAGGCAATGCTTTTGCATCTACGGTGATAGAATTTAAACCTGCCTTCTTAAGAGCTGGGTAATAACGATTTGAAATCCTGTACAACATACTGGAGTATGTAAGTGTGCGTACACAAAACGGGTGATTGTGTACGTCACTGTATTTTTCACATTTGTATTTTGAACATGGTGTTCAATGCTCTGAAAAGTAAGTGACTAATAATTGAAATGCTGGGTGAGGATTCAGAAGAAAATGTTTCCTGGCAAAGCCACCCTGTTTAAGTAAGTCTGCGTACATGTGAGAAAGGTGTTACACGAAGGAGTTTATTACCAAACACATTTTAAAAAATGGGATCTAATATTTGCACACGGATATAAAAACAAACATACAAAGGTCTCATTTATAATTTCTTTTCTCTTTCTTTCCCTTTTGATGCAGTTCACGTCCTAAAAATGTACAAGCTATTAATTTCTGAAAAGAAGGAAATATATATGATATTGAAGACATGAATCCCTTTTTCCTAATCTCTTCATTTTCATGGCATGACTCTGCATTTCATATAAAGGAGAAGCTTCTTGTCATCGCTTCCACGGCAGCTAATTATGGAAACTTGAATATTGGCATCATTAGGGGACTTGTCATTCAATTGTTCTAAAAACTTTTTAAGCACAAAACCTTCTCTATAAATTGTAAAACCTCAGATTATAACTCAGAAAGAAGAGATCCGCCATATTCCGACCCTCTCCCCTGCTTCAGACCTCCAGGCACCTCCTACAGCCTCCTAGATGTCAGGGGCTTTTGGAGCCCATTTTTAAGATGAGGAAAATGAGACTCAAAGAGAGGGACTTGGCCGAAACCGCAGAGCTAACCACAAGGCATCATCATGTGCTGAGACATAATGTCAGCAATCATGCCACCTGTGGGTCTTTTTCAGTCATCTCCTTTTTGGTGGGATCTTTTTTTAAACCTTACATCTTTCTTCATTTTAAAAAAAAAGAACAGCCGAAACTTTATGGTAACTCCATGAATATTTAATATCATTCTGTGCTACAGTACTTTATAAATAATTATATCTTCATTCGTTCATTTGTATATCCACTCATTCGTTCATTCACTCACTCAGTAGGTTCTCTGCATTTCCTCTATATCAGGCGTGATTGATTTTAAGTCGCAGGGATAAAGCAGTGAACACATAAAGGTCTCTGTTTTCACCAATAGATATGCAATATGTTACATCCTTATAAGTGCTCAGAAGGAAAGTAAACCAAGGTGAGGGAGGTAGATGGGGAGGGGGCCACTGCTTTAGGTGGGGCAGTTAAACGCAGTGCACTTTCTGATATGTTGACGTTTGAGAGACTTGAAGGGAATGAGGGAATGTGCCGTGCAGGTATCTGAGGAAAGAATGTTCCAGACAGAGGAAGCAGATCCAGGCTTCCGAGGTGGAAGTGTGGGTGATGAAGACACAGAGTGCCTGCAGGGCCCTGGGGCTGGAGGAGTTTAGGGTGGTGAGGTCATGTAATGACAGGTGCATGTCTTGAGTTTGAGAGCTTTTTTTTTTTTTCAACGTTTCTTTAGAAATACACAAGTAAATATTGCCAAACTCCCAATTAGACCACTGATTTAAATAATTCAAAGCTCATCTATCTTACTGAGCCCTCTAGTTTCAGAACATCCTGATCTGAGAATGATTATCTATGGGTTCTGCCACTTGCTCACCATGTTACTAGGATAGGTAAGCCTGTTTCTTCATCTGTAAAGAGAGGTTAACAATACCTGTGCTGTTCTCCACACAGCTGTTGTAAGGGTCAATGGGCGTAATGTATTACAAAATTTTTTCAACAGCTAGAAAATGCTTGTGGGTTATTATTCTGTGGAAGAATGACGGTGGAGGGGGCACTTTAAGGCAGAGTTTGAACAATCTGACTGGTCACTGTCTGAGCACACTCCTCATAGTAACCACAGTAGTCTCATGGTGACACAGAGGTACCATCCATTCTCATCCTTCCACGCTATCACCGTCTGAGTCTTACATACCCAGACATAGAGCATCTGTGTTGAGAGAGCCTGCGAAGCAGGAGAAGCAGCGTTTGGCTTATTTTTATATTTAAAACTGCATTCTAACTTAAAATAGCAAATATTTTCATTTACAGAGGTGTCAGAGATGTGATTCAGGACTGCCTCGATGTGTAAGAAGTATCATTTGGTCATTTAGTGAGAGGAAAAATGAGTATTCTTTATTTGACAGACTTTTTTTTGCATTAGAAATGGAAATGTGAATAACAGATCTTTTATTTGATTATGATTTATACCAAAGAAAGTCATGACAGATGTACTGTAATAAAAATCTTTAATTTTGAATTAGAGAAATTTTCTCGACAACAGAAGATTTAGCAGTAGTAATGCTAAAATGAAAATTTGCAACACGTTTAGGATAATTTAAACTAGAAATATTAGCAAATGTTGAATATGGTAAACTATTGCAATTTCACATGAGACAATTTAGTATTTTTTTAAAATTACAGAACTGTATCCTTTTAAACATTTAGCGTGTATGAATACATATGTGCCTGAAAACATTATATTTATATTTAATTTGCATATTTGTCTTTACATGGAAGAAGAAAACATTTCAGGTAGTTGAATCATTATTCTGATAGATTTATGTCAGTTTTCTGTCAAATTGCAAGGTGTTATTTTATTCTTGAGTCTAATATCTTGAAATAGAGAGTTTTGTTCTGAAACAGGTAAAACAGGGATACTTCTTTGTGATAATTTTAATAAGGCATTCATCTACTAAATTTGGATAAAAACTCCTGTGCATGTAGGTATTTAGAGACAATTCAGTGTTTTAACATAACATACATTGCATGCCAGTAAGCCAGTTCTGTGGAAACCCACTTGTTTGAATTTATTTTGATAAAAATATTAAGAAACTTCCTGTGATTGCGTTCTAAAAAAATTTTAACATAAATGTTTGGAATTGGGTAAAACAGCTTTTGAAGGTGTTTGGGGGGGATAGGGTTTGGGGTGGGGGATGTTGAATCGTCTCTTAACACATTGTAAAGATTTCCAAGAGAGTGTTTCATCAAAATGGTCAAATTTGAATTTCTCTGTAAATCAGACAGCTTTGGCCGCCAGTTTCAGGTGTGTGTTCGCCTTCCAGGTGGGCGTCACTGACACGGAGGATGAGGAGAAGCGCTACTCACTCTTCGTGGAGCTCCTGGACGCCAGTCACCGAGACGCTGAGTTTCAGCACCTGGTTTTGCTCTTGCAGGCGTGGCCACCTATGAAGCGTGAATATGTGTGAGTATTAACATGGAAGATATCTTCTGTCTGACTTTAGGTTTTAAAAATCAGTACCTTCAGAAGAGCCGTGAGGGATATATATATAAAATCGGTATTAGCCTTTAGATGAAATTAAAATTTTTTCTTGAAGTATTGCGGTTTCTATTTCTCCTTGCCCCTAAACCCAAAGATCTTCTTTAAAAATAGACAGACAGTGCTTGATAAGAATATCTGATTTGTGGCGTCAGCAAGGTAATTTTGTGCCAGTATTTTCACCAGGAAATTTTTTGACTCTTAACACAGCTGACAATGCTAACTTGAGAATCCACGTGGAGTAAATGGATAATTCCATGTATTGAGAACACACAGCGTTATGTGCAGTTTACATGTTACCAGTTCACACAACAGATCTACATGGGAAGGCGACGTTAGCACATTTTATAGGTGAAAAAATTGAAGCTCAGAGGTGAAATAACTTCGGCCTCACTCGGCTGTTAGGTGGAGGAGACTGAGGTCTGACCACTGCGGGCTCCCTGCACAGTCCACGTGGTTTCCTCCACGTCCTGCCCAGCTGGCGGCCGCAGCTCTGAGCTACGTGACAGTGGTCAGACCATCCCTGTGCTTATCGGCCAAGGATTCCTTTGGAGGGAGTGGCCAGATCTCCTCCAAGCGCATATGCTGTCTGTCAGGACCGGCTGCTCCTTGTTGACAGAAAGCAGCAGCCCCTGCGCCTCTTCCAGACGCCCGGCGGGCCTCCTCTCCGTCTTCCCACGCTCGGCTGTGTGCGCGTCTCCACACCTGAGATGTTAAGGATGTTTTCCTGAAAATCAGTAGTTCCGTGAGCAGTGTAGGACCACTCAGGAACATCTGGACAAGCCTCTTTACCTTCACCCTGGCATGAGATTCTTAGGGATTTCTGAAGCCAACCAAGCAGTTTTTCCACCGAGTCTTTTCAGAAAGGAAAGAAGCATTTCTTAGATCTCGGTTGTTGAGGGCAGAGATGGCATGCTGACGTGGAGCTTTAGAGAACAGGCTCTTACCTTCGCTGTTTGAAACTCTGCAGTGCAAGTTCTCACATCATAAAGACTTCAGCTTCACTTGTGACAGCGCCTTGAAACAGCATTTCCATTGGGTTCCCAATTATCTCGGCCGCGCTGCCTCAGGACCTGGGGTGCTTGTTAAAAACAGTGCTGCACTTGCTCGTTGGGTCCATCTCTCGTACTGGAGTCCGAGCATCAGTGTCTGAACGCTCCGAGGTGACCATAATGGGAAGTAGATGTGGGGCCCCCTCGTCAGATTGTTAGTGATGCTTCACTTTTTCAGAAGATCATTAGGGCTGAATTGTAGATTTCTTCATACACTCGAAATGGATCATCTCTTAAACTCGAGAATTTTTCTGATTCAAAATATGACACCTCTAGTGTCATAAACTGTGGTTCTGCGCTTTCTCTGACTTTTAGAACACTGCCCATTTCAAATCACTCACCCACAAGATGCAAATCAGCTTCATTTAAAACATTTATTGCACTTAAAACATTTAATGCATTTGTAGACAAAAAGATACTCATTTTTAAAGGTATATTCTTACTTTTGGAGTCTCCTGGGTAATCTGTAAATTGCTGACCTGTGTGAGGAATTTACAGACCTCCTTTATGAAATCATTAGCATCAGAACCAAGCATTACCAGCCCACTTAACCCTCTTACAGCCGTGTCTCCTTCCTCTACCTAAGAGCTAACCAGAGGGCAAGTCAAATAAAGTCCATTTCTGCTGCTTGCCTGGTCCCAATTTGTGTTTTACAGGAGAATGTATGACGGGATATTTAAACACAGGTTCTTAAAAGCACTTCTGAGTACCTTGTTTTTGGCCAGACACAGTGCAGTGCTTGACTCCAGGGCTTCCAAAGCAACCCAAAAAGGAGGCGGGGAGGAGGAGGAAGGGTGGTGTGACAGTGACTGAGTGTTGCCAGGCAACACAGTAAAGTTAAAAACTGAGAAATTTGCTTGATCCACAAGACTGCTAATTCACCAGCACCAGCTTTAGACTTTTAGTTTTAGTCCCTCATGGGAACATGGATGGAAAGCTTAATGGATTTGTACTTACAGAAGATGCACGTTTTCCTCCTGTGTACCCCAGCTGGCTGGTGGAAAACGCATTTTGATCATTGTTTTCCAAGACCCTGGAGTGCGTGGTGCTGGCTGACCAACGTTTCTGCTGCAGGGAGGCGGCCCGTTAGAGAAAAACCCAGGAGAGCTGAAGTCAGACTTGAAAGACGGAAACAGAGGGCGCGTCCTTGCTACGGAGACTCCTCCGTCAGCCGCTCTCGAGCTTTGTCTGTGCCTTGGAATCAGCAATGTTCTGTGTCCTCACGGGCTGTCAGTTTGAGCTGAGACACAGAGGCTCCACCAGAGGCCTGTGTTGTGAGCTCCCGTGTTGATGTCACTTACCCTTGATGCTCTTCGCAGGCGCAAGGAATGAAATTCTTTCAAGGGAAGGACCATCCTGAGGGGTTCAGTGTCTAGGATCCAGAGCCGTGCTAATGAGACAGCACTCTTAATAAATAGTAAAACGATTTTAAAATGCTGTAGGTAAGATCAGGACCCAGGCACGAGCGCACCTTTAACTTGGGTCTTGAAATGTACATCCTGATGTGTGTCTGAAATAAGGGAAAGTGGCAGCCAGAGGCGGGAAACGAGAGGCAAGCCTGTGCGCTTTCAATCTCGGAGGTAAGGAAAGTAAATACTAAGTCAGGTGCTGGGAGTACACTTCACAGTTACACATCATTCATTAAACGATGCCCCCTGCGGGGAGGACAGTACGTTGCCTTTTCAGAGTGAAAAGAACCGAAGCCCAGAAGGGTCGGGTGGCCTCCCCAGAACCATACAGCTGCAACCTTTTTTTTTTTCCTTTAGAAACTCAAGAGTTAGCGTTTTATAAAGACACCCTCGATACACACTCAAACACATGATCACAGGAAAACACAAGAATGAGAGACAGTGCGGATTTTTACAGGAAAACAAAACGACTCCTTACTCAGACCCCGTGCTTGTGGGCAAGAGTCAAGATGATGTGAGCATCTTCTGAGACACCTTAAAATGAGAGCTTTTAAGTAGCTTCCATGAGTCACCCCAGTAGCAAGTCAAGGAGCCAGAACGTGCACCCCAAGCTGCTGGGCTTCCAGCAGCCTGTGCCCCTCACACCCCATCCCCCACTGCCTCCATGCTGCTGGGGCCATGTCACAGTCAGCTCCTTTCCCTCTGCAAGATGTCCTCTTTTCCACAAGATACACGTGAAGAAACACATCATCTAGATTATGACTGCAGTTTTCCAAAAGCATTTCACGTCAAAAAGGGGGGTTTCTTGTCTATATTAAAACTCTTATGATTGCTCATAGCTTTAAGCATGTCCAATGCCATGCGTTTTTCTCCCTTAGAACCAGCGTAACCAAGAACCCGTGGGTGAGACTGGCTACAGCGATGCTGACCAGGTGTCCGACAGAGGACAAGGAAGGGCTGGGGAACGAAGTGCTGAGAATCTGTCGCTCCTTGTATGACACCGAACAGATGCTGCCTGCAGAGGTGAGTGGGTGCCTCAGGCGGCTTTCCCGGGGGGCAGCCCTCCCCCTTCCCGGCCCTTTATTATAAGCAATATCAGCGACTGTACTTGGGGAACACTTAGCTTATGTTATCGGCAGGTAAAGGCCCATAGTTTGTAGCCGATCAGATGAGGAACAGCAGCGCCGGGAGGCTGCTTCGAGGCGGCTCCCTCTTGGTTGGAGCTCTGAAGGCCTCTTCCTCTCACAAGTCCCAGGGTAGAGCCCCGTCTTCACTTTTTTGTGGGGATGCCCTTTTATGTCTAACTCAGTTTTCTGCTCCAAGGGGTCATGGTAGCTCAAGGGTCACATCTGTGAACCAGGCCAGTTGGTAACGGAGTGGTGGGCCGCAGTGGCCCTCGGGGGGTAACCAGCTGTGCTGTTGGACAGCACTGTGATAAGACTGCACAGCCACGGTGTTTATTCTCTGTGAACGTGGTAGAAACTCAGCCACTTCCACTTTGACTCTTGTTCTCTTTTTGATCCCATAATACGACTGTCACAGCGATATCTGTGTTACATATAAATATATATTAATTACAGCCCCTGCTGCGGATCTGAGCTCAGCAGTATCTTGTTTGAGCAATTTACCTGTCTTAAATGTAAGCATTTGGATAATGGCACTAAACTGATTAATTGGCTTTTGAATTTCTACCTCATAGGAGATAAACTTGAAAATAAAATTGTAAATGTGATTCTCTGAATCCTCGTTG